ACTGGAAGCACTCTCATGTTTCTATTAGTCTACGTTGATGATATTATTCTTACCGGCAATAATTCCAAGGTGTTGCTATCATGTATTTCTTCTTTAGCCCGCCGGTTTAGTTTGAAGGATCTTGGTTCTCTCTCATATTTTTTGGGTTTAGAAGCTACGTGGACTTCACAGGGACTATTCCTTACTCAACAAAAATATATTCATGACTTACTAGCACGAACTGCCATGAATTCTGCATCTTCTACTCCCACACCTATATCTCCCAGTGAGCCCCTCTCCCTCTCTGATGGGTCTCCTCCACATGATCCCACTGAGTATCGTAGTGTTTTGGGTGCACTTCAATATTTATCCTTTACTCGGCCGGATATTAATTTTGTGGTCAACAAACTTTCACAATATATGCATTCTCCTACTACCAAACATTGGCAAGTGGTAAAACGCATTTTGCGCTATCTTCAAGGAACGTCTACTTTTGGTCTATTCATTTCAGCTCGCACACCTCTTTCCCTACATGCTTTTGCTGATGCTGATTGGGCTGGTGATCTTGACTCCCGCCGCTCTACCTCTGCTTATGTGGTTTTTATTGGTTCTAACCCAATCAGCTGGAGCTCAAAAAAACAAAGCACGGTTGCCCGCTCCTCAACTGAAGCTGAATATCGTGCCATTGCCTCTGCCTCTGCTGAAATTGCATGGTTACGTAATCTTCTTGATGAACTTCATTTTTCACTCCGCACAGCTCCCACAGTTTTTTGTGATAACGTCAGTGCTACGTATGTTTGTGCTAACCCAGTTTTTCACTCTCGCATGAAACATGTTGCTATTGATTTTCATTTTGTCCGGGAACAAATCCGCAATGGCCTACTTCGCGTCACCCATGTTCACACAAAGGATCAATTAGCAGATTCGTTGACTAAGCCTTTGTCTCGTCATCTCTTTCAAATACACCGTTCCAAGCTCGGGGTCCTTCCACGACCGCCTCACTTGAGGGGGCATGATAAAGTATAATTTAATAATATACGTAGCTAGTGTTTATCCTTTAATTTTATTGTATTTATCAACTCTAACTACTTGTATTTTGTAGCCTAGCTTTTAGGATCCTGGAACTTATCACATGCTGAGTTAGTTCACCAGCATGCCTTACGTAAATGTGTATATATATGGCTAAGGCCATAACATATAATTCAAGCTTCCTAATCATCACTCCCTGCGTAATTTACTTCCCAGCCTTAACCTCTTTAATATCGCTACAAATACTAACACGTCCATTAAAGTTTGCGAAAAATGTTTGTAAATTTTCTTTTTCGAAGTTATATTGCCTTATAACTTCTTTTTTAATCGTTTTGCGACTATAATTTCTAAATTGAGGATTTAAAGTACCTTGAGCATAATCTCTTAAAGCAAGACTTTCGGAAAAAATATAGGGTAAATTTTCTTCAACAATTAAATGAGACATACCAGTCAAATGTTTTTTATCATCATAGGAGAAATTACCAAAGGGTTGAGAATTTGCAAACCTCGATATTTGTGTTTGCTTCCCCTTGCCCTTGTCTATTTTCGCATACTCCACAAGATGGGCGGACTTAAGATGCCTTGTGAGACTCCCGTATCCGCCAGAAGTTCCCAAGCTATACTCTTTGCCGCAATGATTGCAACTTGCGTACCATTTTTCGGTATTTTTGTCTTTCCTTTTTGTAAAATTGTTTTCAATAATAGGAGATTTAGATTTCTTACCAGTTTGGGTTGAACCGCCCTCGTCCTCCAAGTCTTGCTCATCATCCGGGGTGCCGTGAGTCCCGTCGCCCCCCGCGTCCTCCTCCGCATCGTCATCCCCGAGCTCCTCTTCATCAATGGTTGTCGGGATGTGTTGTTGTTGTGCAAAACGTGGATCGTTTTGGGACAATAGGTTTTGTAGATGCTCGTCGGACATCATCATATCATCTCTCTGTTGGTAATCCGTTTCAAAGTCATCTCGACTTTGAAAAGAAGACTCCGCTCGCGCTTTACCTTTGCCTTTGCGTGAAGAAGGACGAGTCGACGCAATCTCCCTCTTGCGGTTGCGTTGGAGATTACCCACATCTACAGAATGTCTACCACGCTCCATCTTTAAAATTGAACAAATATTAAATGATATCAAATATTTTATATGAGTACAATAGTAATAATAAAATGTGACTAAAAAAACTATAGCAAATTCGAACTAAAATATGAGTATAAAAATCGAACTACTTCTAATTAATACTTTAATGAGAAATGTAGCAACTAAGTGACTAACTAATATGAGAAATGTAAAAATTAACTAGTTTTTTTTTACTTTAATGAGCAATATAGCAATTAACTAATATTAATATACCAAATTTAACAATTAACTACTTTAGCTAGTTTATAAAATGACAAATGTAAAAATTTACTAGTTCTTTTACCTTAATGAGAAATGTATACTTTAACTAATATCACCTTATGACAAATGTAAAAATTTACTACCTTTTTTACTTTAATGACAAATGTAGCAAGTAACTAATATTAATATGAGAAATGTAACAATTAAGTAGTTTAACTAATATTATTATGACAAATGTAAAAATTAACTAGTTTTTTTTTTACTTTAATGAGCAATGTATCAATTAACTAATATTAATTTTACAAATGAAACAATTAAGTACTTTAACTAATATTAATATGACAAATGTAAAAATATACTACTTTAACTATTTTTTTTCTTTAAAGAGAAATGTAGAGAAATGTAGAGAAATGTAACAATTAACTAATTTAATAGATAAATGACAAGTCTAACAATTAACTACTTTTATAAAATGTATGAATGTGTATAAGTATATATAGTATATATAATGTGTAAATATATTATAAGTAATATATAATATAATGTTTATAGTATATAATATATAAGTATATTACTATAAGATGAGTAATACACTTATACTTAATACTTTAATATATATATATATAAGTATATATTAACTAAATGTAATATATAAATATAAGTATGAAGAATTATAATATGAAGAATTTAATACACTTATTACTTATATATTCTTATATAAGTATATAAGAGTTAAATATAAGTAATACACTTATACTTAATACTTTAATATATAATATATATATAAGTATATATTAACTAAATGTAATATATAAAGAATTATAATATGAATGTGTATAAGTATATATTTATAAGTAGATAATTAATATATAAGTAGATATAATAATTATATAAATTATATATATGTAGAAAGAATTTGGAGAAGATGAAGAATGAAGATGATTGAATATGAGAGATTGAGAGTAGAGAATTAGAGAGTAGGAAGACTTGTAGAAGAAGATGTGTAAAAAATGTATAGAAAATAGGAGTATAAATAGGTTTTTTTTTTGTATACCCCACCCCCACCCCACCCCACCCCCTAACCCCCCAGACCCCCCCTCCTATGCTCCCAATGGCTATAGAGCCGTTTGGGGGCTCTCCCAACGGCTACAAGCCACTTTACAAATTAAAAAAAAAATATTAAAAAAAAAAAGACCGTTGGAGGCCCGAACCGGGCCCGGCCCGGCCGGGCCGGTTCACTAAAATGGAGGCCCGGGCCCGGACCGCTATACCACCGGGCCGTGTGGCCCGAACCGGGCACAAACCGGTTCACCGGGCCGGTCCGGGCCCGCACAGTAGCGGTCCGGTCCGGTTCCGGGCCGGTTGGCCCGGCCCGAGTCCATCTATAGTCACAATAATGTTATTGGTCTATAATGTAGTTTTCAATATTTACCGCACTATTATTATACTAATAATTTTTGAAAATAAATGACTAAAAGGGTTGGTTCTAAGAAAACAAGAGCCACAAAAATAAATTTGTGTTTTTTTTAATTTTTATTTGAAAAAATTGACAAGAATAATCCCACCTTTCACTGATCTTCTCATAATAATCCTACTTTTATATAATTCCAAAATAATCCCACCTTTGTACCTCATCTTCTTTCATTGGACTCTGACCAAGTTTTTTACCTTTCTTTGAAAATCTTATATAAATAATCTCACATTTATAAAGATATAATAGAAAAGTGAAAGGTGAGATTATTTATATGATTTTCAAAAAAAGAGTAAAAAACATGGTCAGGGTCCAATGAAAGAACATGGGGTGCAAATGTGAGATTATTCTGGGATTACCTAAAGGTGGGATTATTTTTGTCAATTTTTCCTTTTTATTTTAAATTAATAAATAATCCGTATCTTTTTATTTTTATGTATTTGTTATAAACAAACTATTATTTGGTTATTAATAAAAATAAGTCTTGTTGGATATTATAAAAATAAGTCATTTCATTCTCTTTTGGGAATGAAATGACTATAGTCTTATTGTTGTATTTAGGAGTATTATACAATAGCCATTATATAATAGCCGTTTTAATTAGAGAATATTACCCGAAATAGGACTAAAACAGTTTGAAAATTCAAATTAGGGCTGTTATGTTTTTATTCCCAAAATAGTACCAGACTTCAAACATGGCAGTATTTTCCAAATTTGGCAGTAATTACTCCTATTTTGGAAATAAAAACATGACAATCCTATTTTGAAATTTTCAAACTATTTTAGTCCTATTTCAGAAACTTTCCCTTTTAATTAATTAGATTAGCGGAATTAAGAGTAAAAAACTAATGTATGGTCTTATATTTTTATGATTTTTTTATTAATTACAATATTTTTTATGGAGTATTATGTTTTGTTTTTATTATCAATTAGAAATGATTATCCTATTAGGTAACCAAGCATTCCAGCCAAACTGGTTGTGATGTTACTGTGCCTAGTGGGAGGTCTCGAGTTCGAAACCTGCTAGGCACACAAGGGTGTGAAACTCAATGGAGTGAGTTTCAACCCTGATTACTCCAGCCCCCAGACCCTCTGGAGTAAAAAAAAAAAATCATCCAATTAGGTTTTTAAAATAGAGTACACTAACATACTTTAATCCTATTTTGATAAGATAAATAACATAGTCGTGCATTTAGCCTATTTTCCCAGATTTTGATAGTAAAATTGGGCATTGACTTATTTCATTATATGAGCAACCGAACAACAATAATGCAAACATCCGTAGAACCATAAAGAAAAAGTAAAACTGAGAGCCATTGCATCTTAAAACCAAATCATCAAAACAAGAGCTTACTAGCTTAGCATGACTTGATACAGTGATGCAGCAATGTGGGAAACCACATAACATGAAAACATTAAAACTTAACTGTGAAAAGCAGTTGTAGTAATCATTATTATCATGGAGTACTTGATGAAACAACGTTAAGACAGAACAGAGCAGAAAGTCGATGGGTTCATTTTTTGTTCTTCAATTGGACAGAAAGTTATATGATATTAGGCCCTCTAGGCAGAAGCTTGTGCAGCGTGCTTATCTAAGGCAATTTGTAGCTTAACTTTCTCAGCACCCACAACCCTATCCACCACCTTTCCATCTTTGAGGAAAACAAAAGTTGGCATGGCCTCAACCTCGAATTCTTTAGCAGCTTCCTGTAGAGAATGGGTTTTGTTATGGTCACTGTCTCAGTGAGTGTGTAAATAAATTGCAGACATACTCAAATGTTTTACCACTTTTAATAAAATGATGACGGGACACTAGTACAAAAACAACATTAGAGGTTGTCTTACCTCAACTTCATCCACATCCACCTTGAGGAATATCACATGGGGCAGCTTCTTTGCATAGTCGGCTAGTATTGGGGCAATGAAGCGACAAGGCGGGCACCAAGATGCCGTAAAATCTACCACCACCTGAAAAATTACAGAAAAATAATTAGTGCTGTTCATCCCCCATAATTTTACCACTGGCAATTTAAAAAAAAAACTAAAAAAAAAACAAAAAACAAAACTGAAGCACAAATTCTAGTTCAAATGTGAGCTACACCCATAGTAGTTGATGGTGCAAATGGCGATCACCATTTCTCACCGTTTGGCATTTTAGGGGGTCATCACCAGAAATCCTGGCTGTGGCGTCAGAGTATAAATCTGGCGTGCCATTTTGTGCACCACCCCGCTACCAGGCCACGATTAGTAACACCACCACGTCAACAAAGGGTTGTGTTTCCTCAGATATAAGACACAGATAATTCATCCCCAGATATTTTTGCGCTTTAGCTATAACTCCCATATATATGTGAGTCAGTGAGTGTCATTACCATTAATGTATATTACTATATTCTGTATGTTATTCATCCCATGATTTATGTATATCACTGTATGTGATATATTTATATGATAATGTGTCATGTATGTGATGTATACGCAGCTATATACTTATATATATACTGTACCTTATATTATTATGTATGTTATATTATATTATACTGTTATGCATACGTTATGTGACAGCATGTTTTGGACTTGTAGTCACACTTATGGATGGCAACGGGGCGGATCGAGAACGCTTTTACATCTAACCGTACCTGCCCCGTAACCGCCCCATTACCCAACGGGTAATTTTTACCCGAAACATAACCGCCCCAACGGGTAACGGGTATAACCGCGCGTAATAACTTTATTAAATGAGTCATTGATATTTTAATACTTCCTCCGTCCCAAATTGTAAGGCACTTTACGGTTTACGATGTTTGACCGACGATAAAGCAAACGGATCCCTGTCCGCACTCAAAATTTTTTTAGAAAAAAAGAATTACATGTTCAGAAACTACATTAAAAGATTTACGAAGTCGCACAAACCAGAATCAAATTTGATAAAAATTTGATATATAAAATAAGAGATTAAGAGTGATTTGTGTTGACTAAGTGAATAGGAAAAGTATCTTACAAAATGGGACAGAGGGAGTACAAAAATATTATTTTAAAAGACGAAAAATGGCATCAGCTAGACGACTCTGGACTAAGACGCTACTTTAAAGTTACGTACATCTACAAGACGAGAAAGAAGACAACCTAAAATAATTTAAACCTAAAACTACTTAATCTGAAAAATAATTAATTACGAAAAAATCTGATAATAATCAAACAAGACTATTAAGATCTATTATGAACTTTCATTCATACACTATAGTTATTACATCTATTATCAACATATACACAATGAAAATAGAAAAATCTCATTTTGTAGTAGTCGTGGGAGTGGTGGGACAAATATAGATAAGAATGTAATAAAAATATAAGTATAAATAAACGGGGCAGGTACGGGGCGGGTACGGGGCGGGTAATGGGCGAGCATGTATGAAACTGTAACCACCCTGTTACCCTTAAAAACAAAACGGGTATCCCCGCCCGTACTCATTACCCGGTCAATGTGGTTTTCCCTGTTTTGACTTGGCGGTTCGGTGCGAATATCAATCAGATTGGTCACAATTGTCATCCCTAGTCACACTGTGTTGAGTACATCTTTTCGTATGTTTCATTAATGTGGTATGTTATGTAGTTTCACGGCATATTTATTTAATGTGTTAACTATTTGCGCCATCACCATCACCATCGCCACGGGAAACCACCCCCGCACCATGAAGGTCGTTGTGCGCCATGACAAATTTGGCTACACCCATCACTCAAAGTGATAATTTATGCTCAAGACATCCCGAAAGTGCTTATGATGTATCACCATCTCAAGGATAGTAACTCAGCACTTCAGATAAACAAAGTATACTCATATAAAATACAGAAATGCAAAGTATGATCTTGTCCAGATAAATTAGATGAATGGTTCTTTGCATATACATGCCGCAATGTCTTGGTACCCCAACTCGTTTCTATTAAGAATCACAAAGCTCCTTACTATACATTGTTGACATAGAGTTGGGTCCGAAAATTTTAATTACAAGGACATGGGGCATAATGGCATGAAGCTTGCGATTTGTGTATTCTTATGCTATGTTTGGGAGTTTGAGGGGAAAGGGAGGGGAAGTTATGGAGGGAAAGGGAGGGGAAGGTGAGGAAACCCTTCTTGGCTTCTTGTTGAGACAAGTAATTTGGAGACAAGTAATATGAAATTGAGACAGTATACATTCACTATAGGAGGGTCTCAAACCCTTCTCAAACATTCAAAATCTCTCAAACCTTCCAAAACCATTCCAAAACCATTCCTCCATGTTTTTAAACTCCCAAACACACATAGGAGGTTATCGACCCTCACATGTCTTCCTCTCCCTCCCAAAAACCAACTCCCAAACACACCCTTAGAGTTAAAAGTTTATTTATTCTATTAGCCCTAACTTGCTCCCTTCTATTATCGGTGCTTCAAAAGAAAGAGTGAAAGACTCACGACCCTTTGCAAAATTTTCCAAAAGATTTGCACTTTCCTGCAATTGAGACTGAGAACAACGTATTAGAGCCTAGAAAATTCAGAAATCGTATTGAATTGATTCATCTTTCATCACACTGGAAATGCGTCACAAAGTGAAGCAAAAGCACGCTAGCCGGGCTAGCGTGCCTGTTAATTCTCTTCTAGGGAAACAAGTCGACTCTTAAACTCTAAAAACAAAATTGAAATTTGAAAACCTAATTCGATGAAGAGAATATACCAGTCTGTTGCTCTCTTTGCCTTTCTCGATGTAATTGGTCAAGTGACCCTTGGCTTGGCAGCTGATAACTTGTCCCTCTTCTGCAATTGGTGTTGACGCCGCCGCCGTCGCTGCCATCTCTTCTTGCCGAAAGCTGGTCCTGAAGTTGACTTTGATGAAAAAATTTAGGAATGATCTTTTTCTCGACGCTTGCCACACAAAGGCATTAACCTGTATTTATTGAACGTGTGATTCTTTACTATACCGCCTTTGTTCCATTTTCAAATGGGATAAAGGGTCAGTTTGGTTCTTGAAGTTGCAAAAAAGAGGTCAAATTAGTACATATATAGAAGATTCTGTCCGGACGTGCCATTTGAGGTGGCTCCCGGTGCAATTTTTTGATGAATTTGTTTGAGCGTCTTATTCATTAAGTCTAGTTTACTCATATAAAATTTCAGATAAAAATTCAATCGGGAAGACATTCAAATGAATTCTTGAAGATAACTGTGCCGTTAAAAGCACTGTTATCTTCATGAATTCATTTGAACGTCTTCCTGATTGAATTTTTAGCTGAAATTTGGTATGCGTAAACTAGACTTAATGAATAAGATGCTCAAAAAAAATTATCGCAAAATTCCACCGGGAGCCACCTCAAATGGCACGTCCGGACAGAATCTTCTATATAAGTACTTATTTGACCCTTTTTTTGCAACTTCGAGGATCAAACCGACCCTTTACTCATTTTCAAATACTATTAACCTGGACATCTTACTCAGTACTTTCCCATTTCAAATACTAGTATTGTCACCACGCACTGTCGTAATAAAAATCGTTGTATTAATAAAAACAAAAATATTGAAATGTAAAATGATACATCAAATATTTTACAATGATCGCTTCATGGACAATAAAAAAATCATATTATGCCACATAAGATAACATGAAAAAAAATGAATCACTTTCTTATAACAACATTTGTTGTCTTGTTCGAGCTTACACCGTCATTTAAAATTAAAATTTTAAATCCTTTCGGTTTCATAACTCACGAAACTACCACATACAGTTGACCGTGGTTGATTAGTCGAACACCGGTTTCTTCAATCATGATTCGAAATTGTCTTAAACTTAAACAGAAGTCTCACATCAGATGGAATTAATGAGAACCTTTGGAATTAACACTTGTTGATCCATACTTCTTCAAATGAGAACTCTTCTTCTAAAATATGATCACCAAGCCTTGTTATTATAAATCTTGTTTCATTGCACAAATCAATAGAGTGATCTATATTTTGAAGAAGCATGACCGAAGTACCCACCTTTAAAATCAACTCATGATTAGATATCCACCTTTAGATTAATCTTTTCTATAAATGAAAGAGAACTTTTGACTTGGAGCACTTCATTATAAAAAAATACGTAGTAAATTTGAAGGCATAATGTAGGTCAACATAAATTCTTTATAGGCCCAAGTGCATTTATGTTTTCTCCAAAGAAAAAGACACGTGTAGCTAAGTGAGCCTACACGTCATGATTTTTCACCTTAATCATGACGATAACTGTGCGCAGTTATTTCAAGAATTCATTTAAATGCCTTCCCAATTGAAGTTTTAGCTGAAATTTGGTATGAGTAAACTAGACTTGATGAATAAGATGCTAAAAACATGTCATCAAAAACTTCCACTGGGAACCACCCCAAATGGCGACGGCCAGACAGAGCCTCCTAAATAAGGGTTTATTTGAACTTTTTTTTATTAGTACATGGGCCTATTTGCACCTTTTCCCTTTAATTTTCGTCCAATAAATAGTACATGGCATTTTAGTGATGTTATGATTTTATCTATACAAAAATGAAAATATAGGAGCAACAATCTAACTATAAAACTAAATAGTTCAAGAAATAAGAGCTTAAGGTAAACATACACATTTGGTTTTATACACTAAATTTGGCAATCTAATAAGCTATCAATTGGGGAGTTAAGCTACTTATTCATAGCCATTCAGAACCAATAATGAATATTAACCCGTAAATAGGCATTTCAACTGCACTCTATCAAAGATATTATATGAAGTTATATAGAAAAATATTTCAAGTAGCATAAAACCGTATTAAAAACATTTAAAAATTATATAGAATCAATCACGTCTCACTCACAGCAAGGTTGACATAAAAACAAACCCCAATCCACCCTAGAAAGTTGGTTCAGATTTCAGAAATTCCCAGAATGGAGCTACGTCAGAAAGTAATGAGCTCAACATTATGATAATATAAAAACAGAGCATGACAAGTTTGAACATCACTTCACAAGTTAGAGAAGAACCAAGGCATGCCATAAAATTAAACATAAAAAGTAAATATTCATGTTGGCTATTGGAATAAGAACTTTGCCCCTATCTAACACATATAAGGTACTCTGTATATTAAAGTATCATGGGAATGCCTCTATGAGATTCAAAATGACTATACAATTGGTTCAAAAAATTAAACCACAAATTCATTAGAACTATGAAGCACATGGTCAAACTCATTGTGTATACATGTCGACAAAAGGAAAATATATGGGTAGGTCTGTGAAATATAAAGGCAACCAACTTTTAGTAGTTGGATTAGTTTGGATTTACTAATCCATTTAGTAATAAACTTTACTTTTTATAGTAGTTTAATATTAGAATTTGTATTCTGCCACTTTTTTTAAAAGCTAAAAAACGGTATTTAAGAGAGATAGTTTATGTTTTCAAAAAAAAAAAAGGAGATTGTTCATGAACAATAAACGAACAAACCCCAACACTTGAAAATGCTCCGCTCATAAGACATTTGTTTAGTGAATAAACAATGAACAAACATGAACACCAGAATCTGAATATCTCAACAGTCTTCTAGTCCTCGTACCAACGCATTAGAATCAAGGATTCCCGAGTTGGATATTGCTCGGGGACAAAAGGCTTTCAACATATTGAATCCAATCAGGTTCAGCAAGTCTGCTACCAGCAATGACCTTATATTCATTAGAAGTGAGATTAATCGAAACAACATCAGCGCAACGCTCTTCTTCATATTGAGGCTGACCAATGCGAAGAACACTGATTCATACAAAGTGTCATTGGTTGCATAATCCTTGGATAAGGGCCAAAGGTAAACTTCTTAGTCCAAGAGGCGCCAATGCAATGCTCCATCACCCACAAATCAATCCAAGCATTTTTTGATATTCGAGAATCATAGGAATAAATTAGGGCAAGCTTGTTCTCATATACAGTTGGCATTCCTTCTCCCATCCTGGATAAACCTGGTGGCGGTGCTATCAATTTAAATTCTTCCATTGCTAAATCAAATAAAACTATGACAGAAGTCAAATCGAACACATCAAATGGCATTTCGTTGGTTACATACCAAAAGACAGATCCATTAACAGTGATGCTCTGATGGAACCAGCATTTGCCCTCTAAATTGCCAAATTCAATGTCCTTCCATGAATTTGTGGTTAATGAATAAACTTGAACTCCAACAACCACCTCACCCAAAACTTCACAGATTAACACTATCTTGTAAACATTAACAAATGGACGGAATCCAAAACTCAAATGATAATTTGAAACATCAGCATTGACTCTTCTAATTGTAGGAACCTGCATATACTCTCCAATCGCCGGATTCCAAATTGAAAGCGTAGGAGGGATGGGTGGACGACTCAGGCGGATTTCGACACAGAGCAAGCCGTTGCAGGAGCAGACAATCTTGGAGGCCCCAATGATATAGATCGGAGGTCCGTCCTGAACCTCGTGGAGTACCATGTCCAGATCGAGAGAGTTCAACTTCGAGGTACCTCTGAAGCGAGTAATCAAAGATGGGATTTGCTGATTGGAGCGGTTGAGGTGGTCGATGATGAAGGAAGGGACTTTGATGAGATTCCTCCATAGATGGCACACACTTTGACATCGGTGAAGGGATTTCACAGAAAGCCGCTTGAGAATGTCGGTGATGATTTCTTCTGGAAGGAAAGGGATGCCGCTTTCCATCCCCGCCCCCTTCATGGTTGCCCCAAAATCCTCAAGTCACTGGCTCCGCTATCGTTTTCATTTGTGAAAGATCTGCACGGAACTTGCTACTTCCGAGATACTGGCTGACAGAGACGAACCGCTGGAAGGATCAGGTTGATGGCCACCGATCTCTCTTCCGCTCAACTGGGATGACCACTATATGATGGGGGGCTTGCCATGAAAAGTAAAATAAGAAAATGATCAGAAATGGGACTTCTCAAAATTCAATAAAAACCAAGCAACAATACAATTCATTCTCTTTTATGGAGAGACTAGTTTTTGTACGCGCGTAGGCGATGGGGTATATGCCCAACAGACAAATCCTTTTAGCAAAGTATCTACGTAGGATTTCTTATAGACAAAGAAGTATGTTTGAAGATAATGGTATAGTTCAATGTATCAAGTAAACATTAGACATAGTGATATCTAATATCATATCATCTTAATATTGAGTGGTGAAATAAAAGGCATACATAAATTCTCCTCTGCCAAAAATGCATATTTCAAATGTAGCACCTCAGAATGGGTGGGTTACACTTATGCTTGAACTTTGAAGTAGAATTCTGTCCTGCACGAGAGAGATTAAAAGCTATGATAAGGAGCATAACAATATTTTTACGGTTAATTTAATCACAATTATCACATTTAACTTTTAGAATAACATGTCCTGTAATTTTACTTATAAAAAGAAATCCCCAAAAAAGAGTTAAGTGTAAAACAAAAGCATGTCAAGAGCACTAATCTGAGAGGAGTTTTATGATTCTCAAACTTATCGATGCCCTAGAACAGAAGGAAAATTAGGAGTATTATCATATTTGAAACATGGTTCTAAGCTTTCAAAATTGAAATCATCATAGACAACATGAGGTAAAAAAGTTTACCAAAAAGTTTATCCTCCCCGTCTTGAAACATCAAGTCAACAACATTAATCGGGTCATTCCTTTCATTAACTGTATGGATTTCAACTCCATCTTTTAAATTTAAGATTTTACCATTACCGTTACTATGTATAGTTAATGTAATGACCATTGAACAATCATATGTTACCACTACTGAAACGCAAACCCCCTTCCATATTTCCCTCGAACCGTCCAATATGTCAAATTTACTCAAAGATTATACTCAAATAGATCTCCAATACTCGAATGAACTGAAACCCAAACTCCAAATATTATGCACTGTTAATCTAACTAACCAGAGAACAATCAACCTTTACCACAACTGAAAATCTGAAACTTAAAAACCCTGTAAGAACGCCTTCACAGCGCCAAGATGAAAAATTAACTCAAAAGTGGTGTCCAAACGGACCTAAAAAAGAAAAACAAACAAACAAAAATAAAAACTTGAATGAACTGCATCTCGAACTCCAAAAGCTGGTAAAGCATTCAGTGCATCAACAGACAAGTACCTTTCAGAAAAGAAACAGACAAAAGTGCCAGTAATTCGTGCATATAACATCTGTGACAACAAATTCTAAAACGCCAAAAAATTTGGACAAGACTCAACCTTTAGCCACCAATCAATCAGCAAACCGTGCTAATAACAATGCTCCGCGAGGCTCTGCAAATTCATAAATAAATCCAATTAGTTAATGTGAAAGATTTGATTTTGGGGGCGTTTTAGCCTTTCAGGAACTCGAATATCACGTTGAATGTACTAGAGTAAGATACATACTTTTTCTAGTCATTGCCATTGCAGATTCCACCTAAAACATAAGGAACTAACAAGACAGTATGAAAATATACCATCTTGTTGCTAATTTTTACACAAAACATATCAAGTAAACCAATAGATAGTTGTTTGAAATGTTTTGTTTTTCCTATGACTTTTAGCACCAGAGAATATTTTCACAAATTGAATACTATATTTATGTTTTTTAAACATGTTCTCAAATAGTCTATTAGATAAAGTTACTCTAATTTTCAAATAAAGAACACTGTTCAGTTACGATACTAATAAGAATATAAGTATGAAAAACAAGACCAGTTGTAGTTTACAGGGTGTAAGCCGTATGCCAAAAATGAAAAATAATATGTCTGACAATGACATTTTGGGCACCTGAGTAGTCCTTTTATGTTTATTACTCCAAATTATCTACAATAGTACACTGTTTATCTTCACCATATTCAATTCCAATTAAAGTTTTCCACCCGCACCCAGAGTTCTTAGAGAAGATTCTAAAGCAAAGTTATTAGGTGACATGCCAATTATTTTCTTTATTTTCCAAAAGATTTTAGAAAGTATATGGAGTTTAGAGACTGTAAGGTAATGATCCAAAACATTTATATCCAGCTTGAGTGAAAAAATAGATTTTGAGCTTATTTATAATATTCTAATTGTAAGGGACTAAGCACTATCTAATATTCATTTATCATCTATCAATGACTATCACATTTTATTATATGCACATTGGTTTTTGCATAGTTGAGAATAAATTAAGAAAAAGGTTCAAGTTAATAGTGTAGAATTAATTATTAGTCAGTTTCCTATTTGTATTTGGTAACTTATTTATTATAAATATACTCTCAGGGCTACCAGGCTGGTTAAGCCTGTTTATTATTCTCACATGGTATCAAGAGCCATCCCTTTACCCTAAATTTTTTTTCGGTTCTCATGGCTTCGTCCGCCGCCGCCGCTGGACAAACCACCGCAACCACCACCCCGATTACAACGACCGCATTCACTACGACGATGGCAGCGCCTCTCACCACGGCCGCGCCCGTCACCATGCCGGCAGTTTCTTCTATTACGTCTGCTCCGTTCTCTCTCTCGTTTGGCTCGGCGTCCACTGCCTTGCAGCCGCCGCCTTTTGATGCATCGGTTTGGGTTCCACCGGTGTTTGATTGGTCTACTCCGGTTACTGCCACTCCTTCGACCGGTCCAGACTCAGCCACACGGTCAGTTTCGGCATCCTCCTCCTCCCGGATGTTTTTTGGCGGTCCCACGTTTTCTGGAGCACAAGGATTAGCGCCGCCGCCTATGGTATCACCGATAGGCCGACCGGCAGCAGCCCGCACTAGTTCCCTGGAGGCAATTGCACAAGCTATGGGCTTTTCGGCTCCCAATATTACGAACATTGTTACCACCAAGCTTGATGCAGTTGAAGATTATCTTCCCTGGCGCACCCAATTTGAATCGTTTTTGGTTTCTCACGGTCTCATGGGGATCCTAGATGGTACTATCACTGCTCCTCCTCAATTTATTTTCGATGCTACTCGTAGAGAAGTTGTGAACAACGAGTATTATTATTGGCTAAAGTTAGATCAAACAGTTCGTTCTTGGCTGTTTGCTACTTTATCCCGTGATATACTTGTTGAAGTTCATACTCTTCAAACTTCTGCTACCATCTGGGAAAGACTTGAATCTAGATTTATGGCTGCCAGCATGGCTCGTTCTATGGAATTAAAACGCATGTTCAATAATACTAAAAAGAAGGACAATCAAACCATGGAACAATACATGCGTGAAATTCAGAAAATTACTGATGCCCTTGCCACGATTAATTCACCGGTCTCCCTGAAAGATATAATTGAGCAAACACTTCTCGGTCTTGGTCCTGATTATGAGTCTATAATAACCACATTGACTTCGTTTCCGGAGGGACTCACGTTTGATAAGCTACGGAGACGACTTGTTGAGCAAGAGCAACGCATTCTTTATCTTCGCTCTCAGGAGGCATCGTCGCCCGCTGCTTTTATTGCTCAACCCGTGGCCCCATCAGCTCCTGGCAATGATCCGAGAGGTGGCAATCACTATCATCGGGGACGCGGACGACGTGGTCAGCGTGGCAGAGGCAACCGCGGCCGAGGACGCGGGAACAGACAACAACACCAGCCGAACTACATGGCTCCCGGGTACGGCCCGCAGCCTGGCTACTACCAGCCACGGCCGGGACAGCAGCCCCAAGGGGGGTATTTTCAGCCGCCAGTCTATCATCCGCAAGCTCCTCCTCATGGACGTCCAGGTTCAGTTATATGTAATACGATTTTTTCATCGTTACATACGCATCCCTACTTTATTTATGGTACTAATCATAGCTATGCAGGCTCACCGTTAGTTGATGGACAATTTGGTTCTATTCCTCCACCGGTTGTTTGTCAAATTTGCTATTCACCAGGTCATTCTGCTGCTTCCTGTCCGTCCCGTTTTTCACAGCCATCTACTCCTGCTCTTGCTGCGCCCGTGGGTGATACTAATGACGCTGTCTGGTTCCCAGACTCCGGTGCTTCTGCGCATATGACTCCTCAGGAAGGTACATTAGTTAATAAATCTGCTTATTCCGGACCACTTACTGTTACTGTAGCTGATGGCACAAATTTACCCATCAAAAATATTGGCAATATTTCCATTAATTCCTTGTCAAGGCCTCTTCATTTAAAATCTGTTTTTCATGTTCCTCATATTAAATATAATTTATTATCCATTCAAAAGCTATGTTCTGACAATAATTGCATGGTGATTTTTGATAAAAATTCTGTTTTTCTAAAGGACAAAACCACGGGGGCAACTCTTCTTCAGGCTTCCAGTAGCGGATCCGGTCTCTATCCCATTCGTCTGTCTCCATCTCCAGTTTTAGCTTTAGTTTCTAGCGCGGCGCCTGGACCACTGTGGCATCGTCGCTTGGGACATTGTGGCAGTAGAGTTTTAGATGGTCTTAAGAAGTCGGGTCAACTATGTAGTTTATCTTCTTTTAATCATGATTGTTCCTCATGTCGTTTGGGTAAATCACAAAGATTACCGTTTCAAGATGTTTTCCATAGTGCTAGTAAACCTTTATTTTTAATACATTCTGATGTTTGGCAGTCTCCTATTTTATCATCCTCTGGATTTAAATATTATGTTTCCTTTATTGATGATTTTTCTCGTTTTACGTGGATATATCCCATGCGGCGTAAAAGTGAAGTCCTTACTCATTTTAAATCTTTCAAGTGTCTGGTGGAAAATTTATTGGATCATAAAATTAAAATTTTTCAAAGTGATGGAGGGGGTGAGTTTGATAATTTAAGTATGCGATCATTTTTTAATTCCAATGGAATTCTTTTTAGAAAATCTTGTCCTGACACTCCTCAACAGAATGGTTTAGCAGAACGCAAACATCGTCATTTACTTGAGTTAGCGCGAACCATGCTGAATGACGCTGGTCTGCCCGCCAGTTTTTGGGTTGAGGCTATTTTAACTGCTGCTTATATTATCAATCGATTAACCTCCACGAAATTTACTGGTTTTTCTCCATATCAAACATTATTTCACCAGACCCCTGACTTCTCTTTTATGCGTGTGTTTGGATGCGCTTGTTTTCCTAATTTCACTGCCACTTCAGCAAATAAGCTCTCTCCTAGGTCTGTTCAGTGTGTTTTTCTAGGATATGCTTCTAAGTATAAAGGATATCGTTGTCTTGATCCTCGGACTGGTAAAATTTATATTAGTCGTCATGTCCGGTTTCATGAAAATATTTTTCCTTATTCCGCTCTTGTATCTTCTCAGTCTTCAGACTTGTCATCTTTCCACCCTTGTCCGCTGTCCATTTTTTGTTCCTCCACGCCCTTACCAACTGC